TTTAAGCCCTGTCTTGTCTCTGTGTTGTGTTGGTCCATTGTTATGTTATTCTGTCCGTTTCGTCTCGCTTTTGGATTACTAGTGTTTTTGGCCTTCTCGTGTTCACTAGTGTTTTTGGATCTCCAGATCTCTATCTGGACTTTTGGCTCCCAGCCTTTTGGATTACTTTTGTTTTTGGTTACTCCTAAAAGAAAGGATTTTTTATATATATTCAACTCCTGCCTCGTGTCATCCTGGGTTACTGCATTTTGGGTCCTACCAACCTTGCTTCGTGACACCTGCTGGAAGTAACCATCAGAGGATGGGTACATGGTGGTCATGAAGGAATGGACATGGTCAGAAACAGTGCTCAGGTAGCCCAAGGCATTTAAACCATGCCCAGTTGGCACTAAGGGGCCTAAAGTGTGCCAAGAAAACATCCCCACACCATTACACCACCACCACCAGCCTGCACAGTGGTAACAAGGCATGATGGATCCATGTTCTCATTCTGTTTACGCCAAATTATGACTCTACCATTTGAATATCTCAACAGAAATCGAGACTCATCAGATCAGGCAACATTTCTCCAGTCTTCAACTGTACAATGTTGGTGAGCCGGTGCAAATTGTAGCCTCTTTTTCCTATTTGTAGTGGAGATGAGTGGCACCCGGTGGGGTCTCCTGTTGTTGTAGCCCATTCCGCCTCAAGGTTGTGAGTGTTGTGGCTTCACAAATGCTTTGCTGCGTTCCTCAGTTGTAACGAGTGGTTATTTCAGTCAAAGTTGCTCTTCTATCAGCTTGAATCAGTCGGCCCATTCTTCTCTGACCTCTAGCATCAACAAGGCATTTCCACCCACAGGACTGCCGCATACTGGATGTTTTTGCCTTTTCTCACCATTCTATGTAAACCCTAGAAATGGTTGTGGGTGAAAATCCCAGTAACTGAGCAGATTGTGAAATACTCAGACCGGCCCGTCTGGCACCAACAACCATGCCACGTTGAAAATAGCTTAAATCACCTTTCTTTCTCATTCTGACATTCAGTTTGGAGTTCAGGAGATTGTCTTGACCAGGATCACACCCCTAAATGCACTGAAGCAACCGTCATAAGATTGGTTGATTAGATAATTGCATTAAGGAGAAGTTGAACAGGAGTTCCTAATAATCCTTTAGGTGAGTGTATAAAAATCTCATTTACTGATCTGTAGATCCTCCACTAGCGTGCAGTATCTACAGGGACGGGATGTTTTTGTCGCTGACCTGCATGCGACACGAACATGGCTCCCTCCCACCAACTGCAATCCCCTGCTCCATTTCCCAGTAATTATAAACATAAATTGTGATTTTTGTGAAATGTTTTTGCTGGCTCTAAACACTGTATCAAGGATAATTTAATGCCAGGATACTTCTAATACTTAGCTAAATCAAATGTCCCTTAGCCTTGCAGAGCTAACAAATCACTACTCAATATCATGAAGTCCCCCTTCATGCTAAATGATTGTAATCTTTATTTTTTGTTTTTACAGAAAGATGCTGACCAGAAAGATGCCATCATCATCCCACTGTGGATTCCAGGGCATTTTCTGTTGAGTGTAAGAACATTATACCATTTACAGAACAATTTTGTGAGTGGCATACAATATCAACACAACATGTTAGGACATATGTTGTAGATGATGTCCGTGTTTTAACCTTAAAGTCATTTGTGAGTTTCCTGTGGTTTCTGGCTAATTGTACAGATCTTATATTTTCTATAGGTAATGAGGCCACGCCAGAAAGAAATTTTATTTCTGGATTCCCATTATTTCAGAAGAACAGATGGTTTCTCCAGTCAGGCCTACAGGAATCTGTTGAGTTTGCCAGTGTTGTGTGTCCTGGTGGTCACGTTATCCTGACCTGCCAATGTTTCCAAAAATGTTCCTAAAAACAAGTTCAGTCAGGAGGCAGTGTGATAATAAATACCCCACTCTGTTCATTTGTTATAGGGTCAGATGAGATTTGCTTCAAATAGCTGAAATTGAAGAAAATAGACAAATATTAAATACAATGAAAAGGGAAGGGAGACAGAAAGAAAACTTCCTTGTTGAACTTTAGGAAATTATGAAAATTTACCAATTTGCATGATCCCGTTCTTGGACATGTTCCCTGTTCTGTGGATTACAGATATTAGGCGTGTTTCCATTAGCAGAACTCCAGGGTAGTTCCTGGGATGGGGAACTTGACCAGGAGATAGGATGTCCCCATCCTCTCAGCTGTTGTGTCTCCATTCAAATTCAGCCCTTTCAGAACTTCCACAGACATCAGCACATCACGACTGCTTTGGCAGTGAGTGACGTCACTGATCAGTCCAAAAAAAGCACCCAATGTGACATTAATAACAATAAAAGCATTTACTTTATAGAAGTATATTCTACTTTAATCCATTCGGAGGACAAGAGCAGCTCTGAGTTTTGTGAGACAATTCCCTTTAATTAAGTCTGTGGTGGATTTTTACCGTTTTTTCCAACAGCTGTGGGGGGATTACAGAGTCTTCCAGTGTTGGGAGTTAGATTTTAAATGCGATTGGTGCTTTTTTAAAATGTATTTTTTATGCTTTCATTCTGCTTCACCAGCTACTCTTCTAATTCTACTGCTGCCAGGTGTTTTTGACGTCTGCTGATGTCATTTCCTACTGAGTTACAACCAATCGGCTACGCCTGAGCAGGTACTCAGAAGGTTCCTGAAAACGGCCGTTTGACATGTCGGGAGGTTCCTGTAAATCCATCCTCAAGTTCTTGTAGTGGAAACACGCCTATTGATACGGTTCACATGCCATCAATTTTTATATTTTTTTATCTCTTACAAAATCATAGCAGCGTTTACCTTTTTAAGTTTTACATTGTTGTTGGTTTTTTGGGGGGTTACTCAGAGATGTTGCACAGCAGACAGCTGTGGGAACCTGGGTGGAGAAAACTGCTCTGGATTTGGAGGTATTGCCTGCAATATCAAAATTAAACTGAAATGTAATTATCTGCTATTTGTTGAATTTAACTGTCATACAGGGAGTTCCTAAGCAGACACATGGCAATGATTGTGGTGTCTTCATGATAATGGTGAGTGAGGCTAATGCTGTATACAATAATGTGACTCATGATTTTTTTATTCTTTTGTTGGATATCTTATTTATAATTGCACATTTAAGCCAATAAATGTTTCAATATGAAGTAAATTTAGTTCCAGGTACAGAAGCTGGAGCCACTGATTGGATAATATGTAGTATTTAGCATGGCTTCAATTGAAGAACTATGTTAGGCTCGTGTAAAGCTATATTACACAACTGAATTACTTGAAATCAACACAGTAACAAAACAAAACAGCATTACATAAAGTTAATAAATGGATTGTGGACAGTGCTTCCATGCTGTAGTTCTTTTTGAAAACACAGAGCAGTTTTTGTTTACCTGTTTTCCCGCTACGTTTCGTTTGCGGCTGCAAACTTCCTCAGGCTGACGCTGATGGTGACGTTACTTCCTTCTCCGAAACGTAGCGGGAAGGCAACTCATGGTTAATATCTTGTTACTTGCAACATGACAGACTAATGTCTACATGAAAGATGTCCTTTTGTTCACCTCATGACTCAGGCAACCATCCATGTGCTTTCAGCTGTCCATGAATGTTGACGGACAAAGCCACAGAAATGTACGGCAGTGGGCTGCAGTATGACTGGAGGTATGCTACAAACACAAGAACAGTGCTAATGCCTATATGTATTGTTTTCACATTGTTTATGACAGCCTCTAGGTGTGAATGTCCTTTTTACTAATTGCTATTTATCTTTGTCTCATTAGTGAGAGGCAGCTGATGTCCTATGCCATGGAACTGCTCATATTCTCGGAGAAACTCAGAAAAGCTCTGGACTGGTCTGAATTTTTGAAGAGGCTGTAGCATTATATTGACATATTTTATTTTTTGGAAGGTTTTTGTAAGGCCAATAAAAGTTGTTGCTGGTTGTTTCATTTGTCTGAACTTTTTTTTCTAAAGCAAAACTTTTCTGCTTTTGTGTTTACAGAATATTCTTTACAGATTAGTGTATGGTCAATATCAGTTTACTAGTCTTGTGAATTGTATACTTAATGCAAAATATTTTAGTAATTTCTAAATCAATACATTTTGTGTCAAAGGGCCAACAATTATTCCTGTTAACAGAATATATGAAATGCATATATACACACATGTAAATATGCCTACAAATTACACATCTGCAGCTTTTCACTGTAAAGAAGCAATAAAAAATCATAAATAGTAACATAAATATTAACTACTCACTCGTATGAACTTAGACCTACTGTTAGTGCCTGTAATAACAAATGATTGAAAGTTAAATGTTGCTGTAGGAGGCGTGCTCCCACATAAATGGAGGCTAGTGGGCTTAAGGGGTTAATTAAAACGATTACCACTAATTACTTTTTCTGATATTTAATTTTATTGCATTTAAAATAAACACTTGCACATACATTACTCACCTGCTAACTTCAGTAAGCATAGGTATGTTGTGCCTATTGTCCGGCATCTGATTATTTGTTGGTGATTTCGGTGTTTTATAATCTCACTGGGGATGGCCATAAAGTGTGTATGCAAGAAACAAAGAATATCCGTACATTCATATTTAAACCTGAATAGATTTAATTTTTGGTTTGACCACAGAGAATAAATAATGGGCACTAGGGGGTGCTAAAAGCAAGCAAAACTGCTTAGTATCCCTTTAACAAACACACATGATACCAACCAACACAAATGTGTCATCACATACATAACTTAGACATACACAAAAAATGGGTATTGGTTGCTGGTCAGAGCAGCTCACGGCTGTTATGGGGTGAGCCCGAGTGCAAGTGGGTGGGCCCAGGCCCGGTAGGCCAACCCATATGTGTGTGTGTGTGTGTGTGTGTGTGTGTGTGTGTGTGTGTGTGTGTGTGTGTGTGTGTGTGTGTGTGTGTGTGTGTGTGTGTGTGTGAATGAGATAGGAAAATAACTCTTCCATCAGATATCTTACAGAGTTTATTGGTTGAATTCTAACAAACTCTCCAAAACAATAGGACAGTGTGATCTTTACCATTTGCTGTCAATAGAAAGTTGTTGTTTTATAATTGGGATGTCTCATGTAGGGGTCGGTGAGAAACACCTTTGCATCACTGTGCTACACATTAGTAGTAACCAATGGTCTGGTCGATCCAGCGGCGCAGGTAGGACACACGGGAGTACACAGCAGGGGCGTACGTATTACAGTTGGAGGTACCCCAGGATACAATACCAACAAGAGACCACACACCACCACTTTCACAGACCAGAGGACCACCAGAGTCACCCTAAAGGGAGACAAAAGTTTTGTTAACAATGTCATCAAACATCATTTATAATTCATCTGGTACTCATCTCTTAGTTTTGCAAGTGTTTTCACTCTTTGTGCTCATTGTGGCTGAGTGAACAATACGGTTGTTAAGTTAGTAGAATTAATGTCTGCAAATTTGTTTGTATGCACTCTAAATTTTGGACTTGAATACACTTTTTTGCATTAAGCATTATTTACAGACTATTTAGCCTGTTATAAACCATTTCTGACTGTCATTGATAGGAATTGAAGGAGCCTGTACCTGACAGGAGGACACTCCAGAAGCACCAGCACAGATCATGGCGTCAGTGATTCTGTTGTAACCCCAGTAGCTCTTGCACTGATCAGGGCTGAGCAAAGGCAGGGCTGTCTGCTGCAGGTAACGAGGGCTCGCTAAGAACAGAGACAAGAGAGAGACAACTCCAGATACGTAGCCATTTGTTTTCTCTCTACAAAGCGTTCCACATCTGTTTGTAAAATCACCACAAGTGGACACACAACGTCTCTGACTCACAAGTTTGTCCCGTCCGGCCCCATCCAGTTGTGACACATTTGGTTCCAGAGGGGATGCTGGTGCTGGAGGTGGCGAGGCACACAGGAGACACACGGTTCGTCATCTGCACTGGGGAGGACAGCCTCAGAAGGGTGATGTCATTGTTAAAGGTATTGGCGTTGTAGGAGGGATGAGTGATGGCCTGCAAGGAGAGGTGAGAATACAATACAAACACATTTTGATAACATTTGAAATAATTACTGTAGAAAAAGGCTTAAGTTTCAGCAACTGTGAAAGTCAAACTGTGTTTTCCTCACCCTGGCGATACTCTTGACCTGGAGTGGCTCGCTGTTGGTCTGACGATCGTGCTCTCCCAGGATGACGCGGTGGCTCATTGCACTGGATACAACAACAATAACAACAATACAACAACAGTAGTGTGTTCGAATTTCTATCACCTTTGAATGTCTTTTGATTTTGAGACACAACTTGACTCACGACACACGGCAGTGAGCAGCAGTGACAACCCAGTACTCGTTGATCAGTGAACCTCCACAGAAGTGGAATCCAGTACCATCCTAATATATATATATATATAAATACTTTTTACACGTGTTTTTTGGGTGAAATAATTTCAGTGTTTTTAATGAGGGTATACATACCTGAAGAGAAACCTGCCAGGGCCAGGATCCAGACACAGCTGTCTCACCATTCACAATCTTGTTGTATCCACTCACCTGGGGCTTGATGGCAGGCACTCCACACCCTGAGGTCCACCAACACAATGCACAACATGGTCTTTTTTTGTAAATCTTACCAAATTGTAATCTGTGTTTTACAGATTACAATCCTTTTGAAACACAAATTATTCGATGAAAAACACTGAAACTCCAAAGTTTACCCTTTTCTTCCTCACCATTTACTTTAAATGAATGAATTGAGAGACGGCATAATGATACTGACCCAGTGCTGAAGCCACAAGAGCAAGACAACTAATGAGCAAGAACATGACTACGACCTGATAGTCGATTCCCTGTGCCTCAGCAGTTCCAGAGACTCCCTTTTATAGGTTTATCTCATACATTTGACCCTGATGTCTGTGTGAGGCCATCACAAATCCCACCCCGTTTGTGTTCCACCGTCCTCAGCTTGGGAAGAAACCACCTGGTGATAAGCACTTTGAGCAAAGTCAAACCAAATTTGTGTAGAAAAAACAAATCCATTCATTTTCTACTGTGTTTGCCTTAAAATCTAGTTGATACTGATGTTCAGGACTTATTTTCAAACCATTTTGGACCATTTACAAAAAGTTTGATGCATGAATTATGAAATCTGCAACCATGATTTTTTTAAACAATTTTTTCATTCATTTTTAGGTGTGAATGAAACAAATTTCGACAAAAAATTTTGTAATATTTTGTTAATTTACAAATAATTTATTACATGTCCACCTTGGTGGACAGCGTGCATTCTGAACATGAAATATATTGACTTGGCTTACTGACGTCCAAATGGAGGGGCTCAAATGCAATAAAGTCTTCAACAGCTGTGCTTAATAGCAAAAAATAAATAAATAACAATTTTGAATACCTGTCCACTGCAGTGACCATTATGCATCACAAGGTTAAACAAGAACCAACCAGGAACACAAGATATAAAAGATAAATGTCATTTCAAAAAGCTTTGCATACCACACAATGCTCTGTGTCATAACAGAATAATAAATCAAACACAAATGAACACACACAAAGGTTTGTGAGCAATCTTGTTGATCTTTATTGATCTAATGAAATCACAGATTAGCTTGACATTTTACTGATCATTGAGATTGTTTGTTCAAGTAATTGTTGCATTTTTAACGATTTGTGAAAGAAGTTCAGAAGAATTTCTCAAAGGTAAAAATAACAGGGTATTCACTTAACAAGAAAATATGCTTTTGCCATTCAGGATATGAGATCAAATTCATGTGGGCAAAGAATCTGGACTGTGACTGAGATAACAAGCAGGATTCAGTCAACCTCCTCAATGGTTGGGCCAGAAGAGCCACCAGCTCCTGCCCCTCCAGGGAAGCCACCGGGCATTCCTCCCGGCATACCCCCCTGGTAGAGCTTGGAGATGATGGGGTTGCACACTTTCTCCAGTTCCTTCAGTTGGTGTTCATACTCCTCCTTCTCAGCAGTCTGGATAAATGTTGGGGAACATAGTTCAGTAAGACTCAAGAGTTGTGATCAAAAATCGTGAAAGATAAGTGAGCAACTGTCCTATCTACTTTATTGTATGAACTGGTGATTGCACAAGCTTATGGAATGAGGAACTCACTTTCTGATACAAAGATTTACTTTTACCTGGTTTCTGTCCAGCCAAGCGATTACTTCATTGCACTTGTCCACAATAATCTTTTTGTCCTCTGGGCTGATCTTGTCGTTAAGCTTCTCATCGTCTACTGTGCTCCTCATGTTGAAGGCCAATGACTCGAGGGAATTTTTGGCAGAGACCTTGTCTCTTTGAACCTCATCTTCAGCCCGGAACTGCTCTGCTTCTTGCACCATACGCTCAATGTCCTCCTTGCTCAGTCGCCCTGTTTGAGAATAAAGTGCAACACTTGATTTATTTCCTGTCTTTGTTCATGTAGAAGATGACTTTATAACATTATAATGCCTTATTTATGGGTAAACCTTTGTCATTGGTGATGGTAATTTTGTTCTCCTTTCCTGTGCTTTTGTCCACTGCAGATACATTGAGGATGCCATTGGCATCAATGTCAAAGGTCACCTCAATCTGAGGAACTCCTCTGGGAGCAGGTGGAATACCAGTCAGTTCAAATTTCCCCAGGATGTTGTTGTCCTTGGTCATGGCTCTTTCCCCTTCATAAACCTGAAGAGCAATTCACAGCATGGTTTGGTAATATCAATCAGTAACATTTTTGTGAACTGTTCTCTGTGATCTTTACCTGGATAAGCACACCAGGTTGGTTGTCTGAGTAGGTGGTAAAGGTCTGGGTTTGTTTGGTTGGGATGGTCGTGTTCCTTTTGATAAGGACTGTCATCACTCCTCCAGCTGTTTCAATTCCCAAGGACAGGGGCGTGACGTCCAGCAGGAGCAGGTCCTGGACATTCTCAGACTTATCGCCAGCTAAGATGGCTGCCTGTACAGCTGTGAGTTTCCAAATGATGAAACGACAATGTTTAGAATGCTTTTCCCTCGTTGACTTTGTGAAATTTCAACACATTTGAAAAAAAGATTTTAGACAAAATACGGCCGAGACCTACCTGCCCCATAAGCCACAGCCTCATCTGGGTTGATGCTCTTATTTAAATCACGACCATTGAAGAAGTCCTGCAGAAGCTTTTGGATCTTAGGGATACGTGTGGATCCACCTACCAGAACAATGTCATGGATCTGGGACTTGTCCATTTTGGCATCTCTGAGAGCTTTCTCCACTGGTTCAAGCGTTCCGCGGAACAGGTCTGCATTGAGCTCTTCAAAGCGAGCCCTGGTGATTGAGGTGTAGAAGTCTGTACCTTCATAAAGCGAGTCAATTTCAATGCTGGCCTGGGTGCTGCTCGAGAGGGTGCGCTTTGCACGCTCGCACGCAGTGCGCAGACGACGCACAGCTCGCTTATTGCTGATGATGTCCTTTTTGAACTTGCGCTTGAACTCAGCAATGAAGTGATTAACCATGCGGTTGTCAAAGTCCTCACCACCCAAATGTGTGTCGCCTGCTGTGGCCTTGACCTCAAAGATGCCATCCTCAATCGTGAGGATTGACACATCAAATGTACCACCACCAAGATCAAAAATGAGGACATTGCGCTCGCCTCCAACCTGAGAGAATGGGACGGATTAAGTTAGAAAAACAAAACAAACAGAATCGGTTATGCGTGTAACTTTTTATAGGTATTTAGTTACCTTTTTATCCAGGCCGTATGCAATAGCAGCAGCTGTGGGTTCATTGATGATTCGCAGCACATTAAGACCAGAGATTGTCCCAGCGTCTTTGGTTGCTTGACGCTGAGAGTCATTGAAGTAAGCAGGAACTGTGATAACTGCATTGTTCACTGGCTGAAATGATGGAAAGACCACAGTTCAATGGGGGAGGTAGTCCTTGGCTTATTTTACACATATTGTAGGCCGTTGTTATTTACCTTGCCAAGATAAGCTTCAGAGATTTCCTTCATTTTATTGAGGACCATTGAAGAAATCTCCTCAGGGAAAAAGGTTTTGATTTCACCCTTGTATTCAACCTCTATCTTGGGTTTTGAGGAGTCATTAATAACCTTGAAGGGCCAGTGTTTCATGTCGGATTGGACTACTGGATCATCATACTTACGACCAATCAGACGCTTAGCATCTAAAATAGATGTAACAACAAAGGAACCACAGATAATTAAAAGCACATTTCATTTAATGTATACACTATAAATGTTGGTTATGTGTTTTATTCATTAAGGTGATTTAGAAAAATGTGACTGACATTTTTCCCTATCTTGTCATGTGGGTGTTTCAGTGTTGTGTATTTCTTTTTACCAAATACAGTATTGGCTGGATTCATGGCCACCTGGTTCTTGGCAGCATCTCCAAGGAGTCTCTCAGTGTCTGTGAAGGCCACATAACTGGGTGTGGTCCTGTTTCCTTGGTCATTGGCAATAATCTCCACTTTGCCATGTTGGAAGATTCCAACACAAGAATAGGTGGTACCCAAATCAATACCTACTGCTGGTCCTTTAGACATCTAGGAAAAACAGACAGACATATTTGTTGCAGCACATTCTGTTTGGTGAACAATACCAAGTCAGTGCATGTATTTCTTCAACACAAAATATTATGCTAATGATGATGATCAGAAATTATTTTCCTTTTTGGTTGAATGACCTAATGATGATTTACGTTGAAATGGTGTCCCCCAAAGCTCTGCCCACTCTTTCTGAATTTGATCCTGTTCATCTCCAAGACCTTGGTAAACAGATTAAATCTGTGAAACCTGCAGGCTCTCCAGAGGACTCTCTACCACTGAAGTTGATGCGTGATCTTGTTTCTGTCCTTGGTCCAGCTATTTTGACCAACGTGAACACCAGTCTTTCCACTGGTGTGTTTCCTACAACCTTCAAAAATAAAAGGTTGTGCAGCCGATTTTGAAGACAACTTGGGCCCAATTTCAGTCATCCCATTCCTGTCTAAGGTCCTGGAAAAAGCAGTCCACTCACAGATCTTAACTCACAGGGGGGGAAATTCACTGTTGGGTGTGTTTCAATCAGTTTTTAGACCGCACCGCAACACTGAGTCTGTTCTTATTTGTGTGATGAATGACATTTTAGTTGCATCTAACTCAGGGTCCCATGCACTGCTGCTGCTCTTAGATCTTTCAGCAGCTTTGATACAATCGACTGCCAAATTCTGTTGGACCATCTGGAGTCATGGGTCAGTCTCTTGAGTACCGTGCTTGACTGGTTTTGCTCATACCCGATGAGTAAATCATTCAGCGTGCAGATGAGATACTGTGCCTTGCTCTGTCTTCTGTTGAATTCGGGGGGTGCCACAGGGTTCTGTCTTGGGTCCTCCACTGTTTTCAGACAATCTTACCCCTTTGGGAAAGATTCTTGAATGGTATGGCATTAGCTATCACATCTATGTCAATGTGACAGAGTGAGTGTCACTGGATCCCGATTGATTATGCGGCCTGGCTACTTGGCCAAGGGGATGTCGCTTTGGCTGACTGGTTAGCATGTGGGACTCTCACCCGGGAGTCTGGGGATTGAATCCCGCCCGAGCCCTCATTTCTCCACCTTGCCACACCAACAACATTCAGATCTACCTGGCAATGAATGGGCCAAACACAGATGTACAAATGATGGATTGACTCGCTGATGTGAAGGGGTGGTCTGCTGCAAACTATCTAAAATTCAATAAGCAACAGATGGAGTTGATTATGTTTGACCCTAGGAACCTATCCAGCACATGTCAGTACCAAACTTGCCATGTCCTGACCCTAAACAGTGTGTCACCTGCCTTAGGGTGAAGCTGGATACTGGATTATCAATGGTCCCACAGATAAATGCAGTGTTGAAATCCTGCTTCTTTCAATTACTCCGTCTTTCATGACTGAAGCCCATTCTGAAGCAAACCCATTTAGAATCAGGTATTCATGCATTTTTCACCTCTCACCTGAAATATGCTAATTCTCTTCCTTTCGGCACCCCGGTTACGGCCCTGAACAGGCTGCAATTAGTACAAAATGCTGCTGCAAGGTTCTTAACAGGCACCGACAGACATAGCCATATCACCTTAGTTGTGGTGCACCTCCATTGGTTGCCCGTGACATCAGGGTGCAATTCAAGATCCTCCTCCTTGCTTTCAAAGCACTGAATGGTCTTGCACCATCCTATCTGTCTGAGCTGCTCACGCAATTTGTGCCGGCGCACTCACTGAGATCAGCGGACCACTTGCTACTTTACACTCCAGCTGTGAAATATAAAGCAAGGGGGCTGTGGGCCTTTGTGCTTGCTATCCCTGTCCTCTGGAATGCTCTACTCATCTCAATTCGTCAGTCGCCATCCAATTGCTGTCTTCAAGTAACGATTGAAGACCTATTTCTATTATTTGGACAGGAACCTTATTTTAATGTTCTAGTTCCCTTTTGTATTTGTTCTTAAGTAGATTTTTTATCGCAATTTATTGACAGTTTTTTACTAATTATGTGATCCTTTTATGATTGTTGGCTGTGCAGCGCTTTGGTCAGCTCGCATGCTGTGTTTAAATGCGCTATATCAAATAAAATGGTATGGCATGGCAAAGCTGTGATCAGGATGCTGAAGATTTGCTCACACTGAAAGAACTGATGAAGACCAAAAATCATCCAGTCAGAGCATCCACAGCTACGATGTGGTGCGGAGCAGATCCGGATCGGGAGATCTGCAAAGTTTCCTCGTGAAGTCTATTTTTTTCTGGACGCCACATGTGGATTGACATGAAGTTAAATAAATCACACTAGCCAGACATGAAGTGAGACATGTTTCAGCAAGGTGCATCCGGTATGTTTCAAAATAAAACCAGTGTTGCATTTGTTTTCAGGTTTTAGTTGTAATGACAGCAATGTCAGCTCAGTGTATGATAGAGAAAACAATGGCTTTTGTTTACTAGCTCTTTTCTATTGATGAATTTATTGCATGCACTCTCAAGCCAATTTCCAGAAATGTTCAGCACACGAACTGTAGCCGGAGTGAATGGTGGTCCGGAAGCCGTACAGAAAATAGACAGCATCCATTCCACATTTGGTGTGAACAAGGCTTTATTTTGGTCTCAGCTTATTATAGAGTTGGAACTCTATGTTGGATTTGTATCAGGACCCCATCTGAGGTCATGAAATATCAAATCAGGGTGGACGTTTGCTCCTGACCCACCCATATATGAAATTTTAAATGATAGTCTGTATTTGTATAGCGCCTTCTTATTATGGTTCTACAATCCCCCAAGACACTTCACAACACAGTCATTCACATGCTGGTGGGAATGAGCTACGATGTAGCCAGCTGCCCTGGGGCGCACTGACAGAGGCAAGGCAACAAGCAAGGTGGGTTAAGTGTCTTGCCCAAGGACACAACGGCAGCATTCTCTGGTTGGAGCCAGGACTGAACTGGCAACCTTCTGATTACTGACAACCTGCTCAACCTCCTGAGGTACCGCTGTCCCCCAAGTATGACAGTTATATACATTTTTTTTGGTGGTGGTGGTGGGGGGTCTCATCTCTACCACCTGACCTGAGGTCCTGTTGCCTTGACTGATTACAAGCAAGGCTTTTTGCCCTCTGCATCATCAGTTTTTGGTTTAACATTGTTCTGCGTGCAGTATAAGTGAGTGCATCTATATTTCTGCCTCTTGCTCCAGACAGCTCATAGATGCTGAGATACACATGAATAAGGTCATGTGTCAACAATCAATGGTTCCCATAAAGTCAAGGTTGTGGTTTGTGGTTCAGAAAAAAGGTTTTTATAGAGAATTACCAAAAGCCTTGTGATGAAATCACTGCAGCTTTCTATACCACATGAGATCATCTGACCAACACAATTGCCAGCATTTTTCTGTGTGCAGAAAATTATCTTTTTTAAGTAAGGAAACAACCTTCTACTTCTCTACATTCTTCTTATCGACAAGTCTGAGGCTGTATGTCCCCTAACATATCAGGGGAGTACTACAGTGCCCCCAAAGTAAATTAAAAGGGTGATTTAGACGTAGTTTGGGGGAATTCTCCCCTGGTTTCTGATGCAACCCTTTACTGATGTGAGTCATTGGCAGAAATTAAGGTGATGACGAATTATCATCAGCTTCTTGCTGCTGCAGCGCTTTTTGGTGAGCTGACTGAGCTAATGACCTATTTTAGAAAGAGTGTTCACAAGTGCTCTGTGGCTTCTGCCTTTGACACACAGACACCGTAAACTAGCAACACTTAGTCTTTATTTTCTGATGAAGCAATAAATGAAACATTTTAGGATCAACATGTTATTCATCTGCTTTGGTTGTAGAACCTGAAGCAGAAAAACGCTGATGGTGCTTCTTTTCAACAAGTCCACAGAAATGAGTCAGCAAACACTTAAGCCTGGCAAAGTAGAGCTGAAATGTTTTTGCACTGGTTTTTGGTATTATATCAACCATGCTGTTGTTTGGCAGAAACCATGCAAACCTCACTCATTTAAAGCAAAAAGACAGATTATGAAACCAGGCCAGAGTGAAAGGCCTCCCATCTAATGCAGTTACCTTTCAGAGTTTGATGATCACCAGCTTTCTGAATGAAGGTGACGCTTGAGCCCGTACTCAACAACACTACTCTCCAGCACTACTTCTTGGCTCCTGGCAGACAGACGAGAGCTGCTGCTCTCCTGGTTTATAACTCTCTGAGCCCACTGGGGTGTCAAGTGACCCCACCAAAGAAAGTTCCAGGCCCGTTTCTGCTCCCTGGCCACAGTTCCTTGAATGAAAGGCTGCTATTTTTATCTCTGTAGTATATAGAACAGGACCAGAGGACAGCAGGATTTCAAGGCTTTGATTAGGTTAAAGAAACACGTTTTTCATTATATAATAGGCAGTTACAGTATGAAAACTATGTAAAAACCTCTTTCTAAATCTGGATAATAATCCTCACATGCACATGCCATCAGGATTCTGAAAGGCCCACAGTGTTAGCAATTAGGTTTTACTTCATCTTTGCAAAAAACATCATAAGCATTGTTTGTTCCTCATAAAAAACAAACAAAAATAACCTATTTTAGATACAGTACTGCCTGTGTACATATATTTATTGACAAACTCATATTTACTAAAATATTTCTGATAGCTTACAGATGCACTTAGAGGTGGGGCTTCCTAGGACAGAAGTTTTATTTCCTACATGCACCTAACCCTAACTTTGAACATAAAAACACCAGAAAATGAAAAGTGTTAATAAAGTCATATAAATCACATTGTGAGTGTGTGTTTCACTTCCTTGTGACTGCAACTGCCCCCTTTATCCCGTTGCTCACAGAGTCGGTTGCCATCTGGTCTCAAATGAAACTGCGGTGTTTTTTTAGAACAGCAGCTGTTGTGACGGCTCACTTCTGCACTCTGCTCATATTTAAATGTGACAAAACCTCATGAGGTTAAAGCGTATATGACGTAGTTAACACACCACAGGATGCATTATTTTACTTTAAAAATCGTTTGTAGTAAAAAAAAACGAGAAAAAAATCACAGCTGTTATTGCATCATTTTTAAATTATTTACGTGCACATTATGCAGCCGTCAGCAGGAACAAGTGATCTGCTGCAAAACGGAGAGTTTACTTTAAAACAAATAAACTTCGTAGCTGATAAAAAAAGTCCTCGTGTTTGCTGCTGTTTGCTCTGCAGCGCTCCTGCATGTGATCCCAGGCACAGCGCTTGCAGTAATTGAAGAAATGACTCTCTGCTTTCTGCAGCGTGCTGTTCAGGTCCAGTGTTCCCTGGAGGCTGTGTAAAAGTGGGAGGGTTCATTAATGCAATGCAAACATCAAAGTACACGTAAGCAGGAACAGTAAAACCTGCTGGTGAACTGGATGAGCTGGACGTCATCTTGACAGCGCAGCAGAGACTCTCGGTTGTCCAACAGAATGGCGGCACAGATGAAAAGCTCAAAGGTGAAGTCCGTGTTGAATGCTTGCAGGTCTGACTTGGAGCTGTCGTCTGGAAAAATCCCAACGTAAACAAATGTGTGAGACATTTTCTTCAGGTCATTCTCAGTGTCAGCTTTACTTCCCCAACTCTGACCTGTGCAGTATTTCTGAGAAAGCCTCTCCTGATAGCGAGCGCGGTCAAGCTGTTGTGAAATGAGCTCCAGATGGTCACTACTCAGGATCTCAAACAAACGGAGGGCATCGCTGTGTTCAAACTCCCTCTGGAAGCCCAACAGGAGCCACCTGGGAGAGAAGTCGACACGTGGGAGGACAAAAAACTGTAGATGAGAAAAATGATTACGCAGAAGCTCTACCTGTGGCAGAAGGTGAAACTCTCCATGCCGTCTTTGACTAAATGAGAAAAAAGAGGGGGGTCCAGTTCCTTCAACAAGGCCGCCTCCAGCTCTGAAAGAGATTAAACAATTGATATGAAGAGAAAACATCTCTAGTCTGTTCTGTTTCATCATCTGAGCTCTTGGGAACGCCTTTTGTCTTGTTTAGGGGATACTAACAGTAAAACCTATAACAAAAAGTTCGATCTGTTGTTCTGAGCAGAGAAAATGAAAAAGACTTTTAATTACTTGACTTTACCACTAGAGGTCACAAACCATGTAAAGTTGAGATTATAAACACCCTGTTCACACAAAGTTGCCAGTATGAACTGGGAATATTTATAATTGGATATTTTCTGTTACGTTTATGGACATGTCTCTTTATTCTGATGCAGATTTTAAAAAAAACTTTAAAAGTCATAATGTAAAGTTTCACAGATTTGTGTCTAGATCAAAAGAGCAGCACATGAATGGTGAATCGTTCAGGCAGCAGTTCTTCAAGCTTCCAGACCTCCCAGGTCCTCTGGTTCAAGTCTGCTCCTCGTCTCCAGAGTCAGAACCAAACACAGAGAACAGCGTTTGGTTTTCGTGCTCCTCCAATCTGAAACAATCCTCCTGAAGATCACAAAGCTGCTCACAAACTCTGAGTTCCTCTGAATAAAGTTTGAAAGTTCATTGTTTGGAGCTTCCATTATGAACAACTGGGACATCCTACACTGCCGTCTGTTTTTCTACCCATCAATGTTCTCAGGTAGAATCTTATTTTCCTTTTAACCCTCCCACTCTCCTAACGGGTGTGACCCCGCGAGGAAAGTTGACCATTGAGGTTGATGGCTTATCCCTTGGGTCCATGTGGCAGGGGTGAGGAGTGAGCACCACCTCACCCCTACCACATGGACCTCAAGGGATAAATCATCAACCCTGCTCACTGGTCAACTTTCCTCGCGAGGTCACCCATAAAGAGTGGGAGGGTTAACCACGTGAAGTAGTTTGAATTGCCTTGTTGCTGAAAATGTGCTGTACGGATAAAATGGCCTCACCTAAAGATGTCATAATAAAACAATAGCCAACAAAATGTAACTCAAGGCTAATTTTCAGGTTAGCTTTGTCAGCGAAGAAGTGGTCCTAAGAGATCCCAACAGGGCCTCTGGAAGAGGGCCGTTCATTACTGTCAAAACTGAAATCACAACAAACAATGAGCTGAGAGTCGGGACTGAGTGTGTATACTTTTAGACTGCAATATTAATTTACTTCAGTGGGTGGAAGAAGTTGAGCTGTTTAATGAAGATAAACACTCATTAAAACATATTATGCAAGAATCAATATAAGCTGCAAGACGTGCATCAGTTTAGAAAAACAGGTTTGAGAGGGAAACGAACAGGCCTTTAATAAAAATCTTTTTTTTTTTTCAGAGAATAGCCCATTTGGAAATAGAACCATACGACAAACTGTCCAGGTCAGGGACGAGGTCCTGCCCCAGGTGGAAGAGTCTTGTTCAGGAGTGAGGGAAAGATGGAGCGTGAGATCGATGGGCGGATTGGTGCTGCGTCTGCAGTGATGCGGGCGTTGTACTGGTCTGTCGTGGTGAAGAGGGAGCTGAGTCGGAAGGCGAAGCTCTCGATTTACTGGTCGATCTACGTTCCTACCCTCACCTATGGTCATGAGCTTTGGGTGGTGACCAAAAGATCGAGATCATGAATACACGCTGGCAAAATGAGTTTTCTCTGCAGGGTGGCTGGGCTCTCCCTTAAGAGATGAGGTGAGAAGCTCGGTCATCCAGGAGGGGCTCGGAGTAGACTCGCTGCTCCTGCACATCGAGAGGAGCCAGTTGAGGTGGCTCGGGCATCTGATTAGGATGACTCCTGGACGCCTCCCTGGTGAGGTTTTCTGGGCACGTCCAACTGGGAGGAGAGCTAAAGGAAGACGCAGGACACGTTGGAGGGACTATATTTATCAGCTAGCCAGGGAACACCTTGGGATTCCCTTGGAAGAGTTGGCCGGCTGGGGAAAGGGAAGTCTGGGCCTCCCTGCTTAGGCTGCTGCCCCGGCAACCCGACCCCGGATAAGCAGATGAAGATGGATGGAGGATTGACAAAATCTCACCAGATGGCTCATCACACAGAATGAACTGGAGGTATATTTTTGTTGAATGTCATGCTGCCAGTGTGTTGTGCCCTCTGTCTGCCATCTTTGTGCTGCAAAGGAGCCTAAAAACACACCGTTCAGAAGGTACGGCCAATAAGAGCACCCTGCTAAGTGGGCAGTGACACATTATTTAAGTGTTTTTATTGGTGTTCTCAACTGTTTGGAGCTGAACCTAAAACTGCGTGCTAATGTGATTTACTGCACTGTTCTACTCTGGAATAATAAAGGCATGAACACCAAAGCGCGCCAAAAATCTCACAGATTAAATTACATAACATTCATTTTGTAGAACTTCTGATTAATAAAGTTTCATTTTTCTTTTATTCCCACCTAGTTTTCTGTGCAGGCCGTCAGCTCTGAAATCTCTGGAGAATTTCTCCATGTAGCAGGAGAAACTCCAGAAAGTATCAACCTCTGAGTCCAGAACTTCCAGGAAGCGGCTGCACAGGTCGTTCATTCCCTGAGCGTAGCTAACCTCTGGAGATACAACAAAGACACAGTGAGAAGAAACATCCTCTGAGGTCTACTCAATATGCTCCTGGTGCTCTAGGTCTGCCCTTACCTGGATGAAAGGCAGCATAAGTTATGAGGATGTCTCTCAGCACCAACAGATTTCCTAAACCTTCGTTTCTGCAGAAATATGCAACTTATTTAAGGACGCAGAGTTTAAATAATGCAAAGAACAACAGCTGGTGCTAAACTCACTGGTAATAGTTCAGGTCTCTGTTTGTTCGAGGCACGTCTTTGTCAATGATTCTTATGGCTTCCTGCAGCTCCTCCTGGTCAAAAGTCACACGCTCAAACAGGATCTGCCCAACAGGGGGAGACGATGAGACCAAGCAGTTTGATGTCAGTGATCGACAGACACGCTTTCATTTTCACTGATTTCACTGGAGAGAAACTGTAGAAGACCTGATCTGGTTTTGTGCTTTGATGTAGCTTAATCAGGCTGAGGGTGGCTGACAGCCTTGCATGCTTGTGCAGCTTGATGGAGGAGACACCCCCCACCCAACTATGATTGGTTGATATTTCAGCTCTCCTCTGCTTTTGGGATGTTTGCATACATAAGTGCAAGTTGTCTGTGGTGCACTCTGCTAATTATCTTCCATTTAAAGACGTAGCAATAAGATGTACAGCCACCCGAGTATAAACACGTCTCAAAGTATCACAAAGGTCATCTGATGCCAGAGTAAATAAATGAGTTTGTCTAACAAAATGGAGGCCTGTTTGACCACGCCTTCAAGCAGCTAAACTGCACTGCTCCCATGTTAAAATATAAAAAGGGCAACAGCTGCAGTTCAAACATGTAAATTAGAGATGTATGCTGGAGTAGTCCAACCTGAGCTTGTAGCTCCAGAAAGGTCCATCTGTCCTTGAGCTCCTCAGACTGATCCTGGGTCTGCTGCTGGGCCCGGGCCTGAGCCTCTCTCTGCTCAAAGTACCCGAGAGCTGCCACCAGCTCAGCTGGACGAATCAGCAGAGAAGAAGTTTTCTAAATTATTATCAAGAAGAAAACAGCTTCACTGAGTTGGAAGCTGAGAGGTGAATGAACTTCTTTTACTGAGATTCTACCATCTGTGCCGTTAAGCTGGATCTGAACTGCTGATGGAAGAAACCGCCGCCACTTTCGCCTCATGACGAGGTAACGTACGACCAGCTGCTCATGCAGAAGAGAACGCTCTAAAGCTGTGGAGCTGCACGGATACATCCCAAACAGGAAACACCACGCCAGGCCTCGCTCAGGCGGAGAAACGCCACCTAAACAGGGAAAAAGGGATCCACTGAAAGCTCTGTGGGAATAATCCTAAAATGATCAGATGAAAAGACCCTCAGCCAGTTGGGTTCATGGAATGCGTGAAGTGGGACCTTTTATCTTTTGGTAGAGATGAAATGATCAGAAAAGGTCACTGGGCCACAAAAAGACGGATTTGTTCCCACATTCCTGCTCATGCAGACATGTGATGTTCTCTCCACGTCCTAGAGCGGTTTCCTGATGAAGTTTTCAAACCAACCCAGAAATCCCACATTTATACAAGATCCCCGTTGTTTTGGCCCAGAAGTCACGCTGAGGCTCTTTACCTCAGGGGTCTGATGCTCAATGAGATGTTGGACTTTAAAGGAGAATAGTTGGATTGTGACTCGACTTAAGACCTGAAGAAAACATCACTTGACTCTCGTGGCTGGATGAGATCCCATCTGAACACAAAATCGTAGCTCATCTATGATCTCATCTATCATGTGCAAGGTTCCAAATCTTTATTTCATGTATGTGAATTCATATAAACAAGTAAAGAAAAACTGTGATAAGTGAGCTGAGAAATGTTCATGTTTTACTGAGTGCATCCACCTTCAGTAGCTTCACACCATCCTCGGAAAACCGCGTCAACTCAGGAAAAGACACCCATTTGTATCAAATCTAAAGGCTTAACAAAAACTTTAACTTGTTAAATGTGTTGAACTTTGTTAAATAACAACGGAAATCTCAAAAGTGCTCGTGTCCAACATCAAAGTGAACAGGGCTGCCTTCCAGCAGGTCAGAATAAGTCATCAGCACAAACTGCGTGGTTGATGTTTCAGATTTCCCTTCCTCAATTTTAAATAAATGATACCAACTGCATTAGTTTTTATTTTTACTTAATCGAATATTTGTATTTGAACTGGTTTGACCTCTAAATCAGGATTGCAAAACTTAATTAAAACGTTTTATTTTTAACTTCATGTTCATTTGTGCAGCAGCTCGGGAGAATGGAGTAATGTACCGTTTTTGAGGATGTGCATCCTCAGTCGGGACTCGTCCACACGCCCCTCTGTGTCCATGACTCCCGGTAAGGTGAGCCTCTCGGCGGACAGAGCAGGACAGCTCACCGCGGCCACCCTCCTCCTACAGCGGTCATCTGGCTGCTGGCTGACCGGGCTCCTCTCTTCTCCTGCCGCCTGCAACAGCTTCCCGGTGTCGGTTATCACTTCCTCCATGTGTCCCTGGATTAGGACAGTCAGTCATTCCCGCCGCATTTTATCCCTAAACAACAACATGCCTCTTCCCAGCAGCGCTTCCCAGAAATAAGACTGATTTCCTAATGCAGAGTCGAGCTCAGGAACCCTCAGGAACCATCACTAACTGTCTTTCCTGCGATTTGGTCAGCAGGGAGTCACGTGACCGCACCTTGAAAGTGTTTGGCTCACATTCCAGGTGGAGCGCGAGTTTAAAGGCCCAAAGTTCAAGCTGAATTAAACGTGTTACACCGCTGCCATCTAGTGGTCTGTCAGATCACAGCAACTCTGACACCAATTTACAGCTAAGATCACGCCCATCTACTTCCGGACCATGGGTCATACTTCCAGAACAAACAAAAACAACAACAAAAGCACACAAATGAGTGTGATTAGAGGATAAAGTTATTTCTTGATCCTGTTTGATATGTGTCATGGATTTCACATGATGTCCGTGAACAAAGCGCTTCTTTTCTAGACGGCAAAAGTTATTTCAGGTTTAGTGTGAAAACACATTTAGGACTACAAATGTTTGTCTCACCACGCTGACGTCCTGAAACCAGACACTGAGGAGAGCAATTAGTTTAGTGAGCTTCGGCTCTTCCTGGTGAAAGAAGGACAAAAAAACTTGGAGAAAACCACCATAAATTTGCCCGTGTGTAAAGTAGCAGCTGTGCTGGGGGAGAAGAGATTCTGATTTTTAGTTATTTTAATTACGAATTTTCTACGGAACACTCTGCACTCTAATGCACATGTCATCCCTAATGCACATGTCATCCATACTGGTAAACACAAGTGGCAACAATTACGTATAAGGAGAGCAGCAACATCATTGGTTGAACTCAATCAGTCAAAATCACGTGTTTCAAATGATGTGAAAACCAATATAAGCCAGTTCAGAGAGCAAACAGGTTGTTGAAGGTGGGAATGAGAAAGTGTGAGAATGGGTAGAAGAATTTTTGTGAGAGGACGAGTGCGTATGCGAGGTGGGGGATGAGAAGAAAGAGGAGGAGGATGAAGAAAAAGAGTGGAAATATCCGATGAAATTGGAGCAACAATCATGGACCGTGTTGTTGTTTGTGGACTGAGAGAAGCAGGACTTCGAGTGCAACCGTTTTTCTGTCTGCCATAGTAAGGACATTCAGAGAAGAGAACAGGTATACCACTGTATTTTTGTAATTATAAATGTATACGTACTACTGTATATGCAGCTGTTCCAATAGACATTTGTGAAATTCATCACTGCACTGCACTGCATGAATGATTTCTGTAACTGCATATCTACGTTTCATAGAATTGCAAGGCTGCCACTTGCAGGTGGAAGGATCGCTATATCCACTCAGGAGCAGGAGACCATTATAGTGGGCGTGGTCCTTCAAAAAAGCACAGTAAGACTCATGGAAATCCGGGAGTGAGTGATACAAGACAACACACACTTCCAGGCAGTGGCGGAGCTTGATATGTGCAACATGTGCGGCCGAACAGGGCGGCAGTCTGCAGGGGGCGGCATTTAATTTCCTTTTTTTTTTTCTAAAAAATTTTTTTTTAGCATCAACCAATACATAAACAAAACATAGAAATCGCATGTTCTTAATAATAATAGTGATGATAATAATAATATTTCTGTAATAAAAGCACAACAAAGTGTAACCCATATCAACTACTCCCTGTCACATGACCCACGTCAGCTGTTGTGAGGTCCCCTTCCTGATTGGCTGCTTCCACGTCGCGGCAAAGCTGGCTGTGGGGGAATACTTCCGGGCTCGACTCCTGCTGTGGCTGTAAGCTTGTTGCTTTAGAACGGCGTTGGAAAACAAAACGTTTTTCTCCCCTCAATTCATTTATACTCTCATTTTACCTCAGCGGTAAGTGTGCTTAACATCTACCAATAACACCCTTTTACTTGTCAGTAACCTCTCGATCGTTTTCGCTATAAAAAATGACCTTGTTCGGCGGAGTTCCCACCGCGAGCAGAACTCCGGTTCAAAAACGCTGTTTTTGAAACGCTTTTATTTCCTTAAGCACTTTAATGGGCTTAACTTGAAACCAAGAGCAATCGAATGATTATTGTTATGTGTTGCCTTGAATTCGGCTATGCTCTCTGTCAGACAGTTGTTTTCCTTTATTGTTGTTTTTGTATTTGTTTGTAGCAAACGCTACTGGAATGCATAGATTGAGCTGCGTAGCCAAGATGATTAATAATTGACCTGTTGTACATTCGTGATATGTTTACCGGTAAACTGAATCGAACTTGATGTGCTAATGAACGTTTCTCTGGCCTACAGGTCAGGTTTTTTTCCCCATGTTGAACTGATCTTCATATTGAAGTGGCGAGCTGGTAGGACCATTCTTTCTTCTTGGAATCGGGAAATGAGCTTTCTTCAGACCCAGCCAAGTGGTCATCACCAATTACCGAAATTATACGCACAGAGCTAGTTCGAAGAGGACCTACTAAGGTGCCAACTACTTTCATATTTCCCAGGAATCAAAGCGATGGCAGATGTTGCCATCATCACTATTTCAGTAGAACTTTGACAAGTGGTGAGAAGGTGGCCAGGAGCTGGATGTTGTATTCAGTTAGCAAAAGTTGTTATATATACACTCCACGCAATTTGAAACAAAGTTGTAGGGGTAATGTTTTTTCTGGTGTGTGTGTGTGTGTGTGTGTGTGTGTGTGTGTGTGCGTGGGGGGGGGGGGGGGGGGGGGGTCACAGGGGGATCTCACACAGGGCGCCATTTAGGCCAGCTCCGCCTCTGCTTCCAGGGACTCGACAGTGTGAGCATTTCCATAATTGACCGTGTCCTCTATCGTAACAGGATGCAAATGAAGCAGGGTTACAGAGTACCTTCTGAGCGCAACTCACCAGGTAAGTGTACAGCAGACACATTCACTGTAATCCAGATTGTCGACATACTATGTGAATGGTTACTCTTCACTACAATGTATATGAATCAGAAGTGCATATATTAGGCCTAATTGTACGCTACAGCATAGCGTCTCTGTACAACTTACACAATTCTACATACAGTATATTGCATTTCAATACAGACGATTTTTGACTTGGAATCATTGAACAGACCCTGTGAGCTCATCTTTGTTGATGAAGCAGGCTTCAATCTTCAGAAGAGAAGGAGAGACTAAAACATTATTGGACAGCAGGCCATTGTTGAAGTCCCTGGTCAACGAAGTGGCAATGTTACAATCTGTGCTGCTATCAGCAACCATGTTGTTATACATCACCATGTTACATTGGGGCCTTATAACACCCAGCATCTTCTCAGATTTCTTGTCAGTCTAAGAGATTTATTATTTGAGCAGCAAGGTCAAGAGCTAGATCCCACGCCCGCCTATGTAATAGTGTGGGACAATGTCAGCTTCCACCGAGATGCTCTATTGAGGGAATGGTTTACCATCAATGGGCAGTTCATGAACCTGTACCTCCCTCCGAACTCGTCTTTCCTGAATCTGATTGGAGTTTTTCTCCTCTTGGAGATGGAAAGTGTATAAGACAACCCTACGCCAGAGTAAATCTAATGTAAGCCATGTAGCCTGGTGGTGAAACAGATGAGGAATGTTGTCAGGGCTGGATATCACTGCCTGTGATGTCGATGAAGTGCTGTGTTCTGACCCAGCCCAAAGACAAGAAGAAGCCCATTGATCACATGATCAGCCCTTTGATGTCACTTTTTTATGGTACTATAAAAATTGTATGGCCCTGAACATTGTGCCTTCCATTTTTTTCCAGAACTGACTGAACTACAGAATCACAGAGATAGTTTTTGAGGTGCAGTGTAAAAGTAAGGGCACAAGGAGGAGGAAGAACAAAAGAAAATGCAAAGAGCAAAACAGCCATTTCTGATCAAAGACAGAAACATATGAATTTTGATGCGAGATTAGAAATGTCTCCCTGAGAACCATATGTTTGAACAATGTGTTTTCTGTTTGGTGTATTTGTCATGAGCTGAACTCAGAAGACCCGTAATGACGCCAAACACAGTTAAAGTATATAAAAAAAATTATTTATTTTTGGTGGAGTTACCAGATGGGCGAGGCAGGAGACAGAGTCGGAGGGCAGGCATTAGTCAAAACCAGATCGGCACAAGCAGGTACAAGGAGCAGGCTGGAGACGTGGTAGAAGACAGGCAAGGGTCGTGATGGCAGGCAGAGTTCAATGCAGGGATCAGGAGAAAAAACAAGGTCCGGAGGCAGAGATCAGGCAGGGTAGATGGCTGGAGAATTTACTGGCAAATGTTTTCAATAATCTGGCAGAGACTGGATAGGTGGCTGGTTCTTTTATAGCAGGGGAAGCAGGTGTGTGAGATGAAGGCTGATTACAGGAACAGGTGAGATGAATAAAGTTGATTGTGATGCTGACTGAGGTTGCTAGGGAAAACAGGGCTTGGCTGGAGCTTGATGAAGGGACAGGTGAGCTGAATGAAGAGTAAATGAGGAGGCAGAGGGTGAAGGATGGGAGTCATGACAGTATTGTTGACTTTTGAGCTGTTTGTTTATCATTTCAGAGCAGTGTTTGATTTTGAGCACAGGTAAAACTGTTTTTAAGTGAAAGTTAGATTTTGCAAGAGGAGTCAGAGGTTTTGTAAATCGTGCTTGAAGCTGAGGTTTTGTGTTTAGTTTTGAGAAAATGGAGCAAGGTTTCAGGAATCGTGTTTTAGCAGTAGAAAAAACTGTATTATAGATAATAGTTTGTAGAAGGAACTGTTTGGTCTGGTTTAGAGCTGATGAAGTCAGATGTTTCCCTGCTCCAAACACTTGTTCAGCAGGTCATGATGCTCTTCAGGAGGCTGTAAATCACCTGGGGTCTCATTTATCAAGCTTGCTTATGCACAAAACCATGTCGGAAAACTGCGTAAGCAACTTTCCACGCAAACTTTTGGATTTATGAAAGAAACTTAGCGGAAAATGTGCACAACTTTAAGTTTCTTTTCCTGGCACTCGCGGAGTACAGACGCTTCTCTTTTCGCTCCCTTATCTTTTTTTCCCAAGGCTCTTTGTCCTGTCTGCCCACAGAGCGATTCTCTGCATTTATTCTGAAAACCCTATTTTTAACCATGGATTTGATAAATTGGTCATTCAACGCGATTGATAAGATTTTTCAACAATGAGAACGGAGCAGGGGGCTCCCACATGCCCACAGGGGACACACCCGGTGGGGTATATGTTGGATTCCTGGAGGGAATGGAAGATCATATGCCTCTTCCAGCCGTCCATTAAGGATATTGAAGACGTGTGGATATTCGGCCTGATGATCACTGGATTTCTTCTGATTGGAGTGGGAGGATATCTGGTTTTCTAGAAATTTGGGAAGACGGGAGCGATTGGAGGGCGACCCGCACCCACGGAAAACACCGTCCGTATGGTGACTTCTCAGACTGGGACGTTAGTTGAGGTGAATCGTAAGCTGGACAATGTTCTAGCTGCGATACTGGTATTAGTGTGCAAAATGGATGTCATCTCGGAGAGAGTCACCGGATGGTATGGACAAGTTTAAAAACCCAAAATTGGCTTCACTGAAGGACTGGAAATGATCAGTTTAAAGACTGAAGGCAGAGAGGAAAATTATCTCAGCCTGACCCAAACAAACTCTTGTTATCCGAATCTGAGGCCCTGGTAGCCTTGAGAGGCAAAAAACCCCGACGAAGGAATGCAGACAGATGCTGTGAAACCCTGACCTACCTACCTACCCCCCCCCCCCCCCCCCCTCCGCCTTCGGATTGGTGGACTTCAGCCTGGCGAGGTCATCAACCTGCAGGAGTCAATGTGCTCTTCGCTTCTCCCAAGATCTCCCTCCCACCTGTGGCTGCAGTGGTTGAGCGCCGCAGATGGCTGCTCTCGCTGGGGGAAACAGGATCCCAGCCCCAGCCCCCCACCCCCCCCCCCCTCGCCTTCCTATTGGAGTCTCATGTTGTGTTGTCTGAAGTCTGTTGTATATCTGTTGAGGTGTTTTTTTGCAGAGCAAAGCTGCCCTCCTGGTGGGAGGGTAGCTGTGAAGTGCCCTTTTTCCCTCCACCTGAACCAATCCTCATGTAACCCTCTTATCTCTATTAAGGTAGCGCGACTCGGGTTGCGAATGACCACAGTTACCAATTCTTGTAATTTCTCTTGACCATGTATGTCTGATCTCTGAATTGTGTGTACTGAAACTCTAATTTCCCTCTGGGATTAATAAAGTATTAATTGATTGATTGACCTGGCTTACGCACATGTTGGACATGGAGAGCACCTGCAGTGCTGCTGCTGAGAAGGATAAAATTATGAAATCCTGCAGCATTATCACTTGTACCTCTTCGTTTTCACACAGAACAAGACCCCCCACACGCACGCACGCACGCACGCACACACACACACACACACACACACACACACACACACATACACACACACTAGGTTATCATTCGTTGTGAGGACCGTCATTGACTTCCATTCATTAAAAGCCCCATTCCCACCTGTACCGGGTCGGCCCGGGCCGGGTAGCGTAGGTTGTTTACATATCTGGGTGGCCTGGTATTTTTCCGGGCCAACCAAGGCTCATTCTCGGCCCTCTTCCCGAGGGGTACTGCTTCAGGCCGACCAGGGCCAACACGCCCACTGCTGACAGCAAATTCACACCTTCCATTAGAGCAAGCCTCTGATTGGTGGGTAGAATCAGCCCACATGGGCTTAAGACAAGGATGTGTGGAATCAACCGGGCCAGGCTGGGGCCGACTGGGGCTACCCGGCCCGGGCCGACCCGGTACAAATGGGAATGGCCCATTAGTGACTGGATTGTGCCAAACCCTAACCCTCACCCTAACTCTAACCATAGCCAGTCTACTCCTAACCCTAACCTCAACCGTAGTCATCATCACAAACTGGTGAAATTCATCTCCTCATTTGACCCATCCCCATGGAGGGGAGCGGTGAGCTGCACCTGTGGCTGCACTCAGGAACTATTTGGTGGTTTAACCCCCGAATCCAACCCTTTAAAGCTGAGCGTCAAGCAGGAGGCATCAGTCTTTGGTCTGACCCGACCGGGAATCAAACCTCGATCTCCCAGGCCCCGGGGCAGACACTCTACCACTAGGGCACTGAGCAGGTTAACTAAAACTTAATTCACACCATACATCTAAAACTAACCAGTAGAGCTCTGTTACACTGTCCCAAAGGCAGGACCAGCAAAATGTCCTCACTTTGCTACTGATGTCCTCAGTTTGTAGGTAAAAATGTGTTTTGGTCCTCACTTTGATGTATAGACTGACACACACACGCACACGCACACACACACACACACACACCTCAGGAGTAAATTTTAGAGACCAATCAACCTAACAGTCAAAATGTTGGACTGTGGGAGGAAGCCGCAGTACCCGGAGAGAATCCACGCGTGCACAGGGTGAACATGCAACCTCCATGCAGAAAGATCCCAATCGAACCTTCTTGAATTGAGCTGACTTGAACTATTTATTCATAAAGCCCCTTCCCAAACCCAGTCAAGGAGGCCCAAGGTGCTGTACATAGTGCAGAGACACATACAGTTACTATGAAACATACATTATATGATAAAATAAAAACATCAAACACAAAATAAAATAATTGAAAGCACAGGGACCAAAGAGCAATCAGAAACATCATTAAGAAAACTAGCAAACTGATCTAAAACAAAGCTTAAGTCTGGCTTTAAAAATGGGCAGAGACGTGGACGGTTTGATCTGTGGTGGAAGTTGGTTCTGGAGTCGAGGTCCTACAACCAAAAAAGCACGATCACCCCGACTTGCATTTTGACTACCACCAACAAGTCACTCTGAACCGAGCGTAGCTGACGCACCTTTATCGGGTAAATTTCTTAGGACTTTTATTTCTTACTGCTTTTGCCAGATTTAAGTTATTTCTCGTGGGTTTTTCTCTCATTGACCGAAGGGTACCAACACTTTAGTTCAGGTCTGTACCTTAAATCAGAGCAAATTCTGCAACTTTATAGATTTTTAATGTAAAATTTTAGATTTCACCTGAAGTATTCATTTTAACATTAGAGTCTGGATTCATGTTTGAACATTTAACTTTCCTGAATAAAAAGTTGTAAAAGCAAGCTGTTCAATTGTAAACTGTCACGAGGAGCCGAATGTACCAACGTGAAGTTGCTCAAACACTGAATGTGGCAAAACATCAGCCCAGAATCTAGACCGCCGTTCGCCAAAGCAAAATAATTTTGTATATGGCTAGCAAAACATAGCTTTACATTTTAAAGCATTACGTTCCAATCAGGACACCATAGTTATTGGTCACCAAAACACCGATAAACATTATCTTTGATGCACATATCAATAAAAAACATTTCTTGGCTAATATTTCTCTCAGATGTAATAAAAAGTTGAAAGATGCTGAATTTTCCCATGATTAAGTATTTTACTGAAATTCTCAGCTCAGCGTGTCTTCTGGTGAATGACCCACATTTGCATAAATACTGTCGGAGATCTCAGCAGGTTGGCTTGTTTGATTTGTTTGTGTCTGCAAAGACAGAGGACAGTTTAAAATGGCTGTTTGTTAAATGAATCCTACTGCTTCATTAGATAAATAAACCAATAATGTGAAAAGTACCTGCAGATTGATGTAGACGGGATCATCAATGACCTTTTCCTCAGGTGGCTTCACATTGAAGGCTTTGCAAGAAGCTCTACTGAAAAAGAATAAAACAATATTTGAGAATCAGCAGCGTCGTTGTACCAGTAAACAACCACAAATAAAGACCTGTCCAACACTTTTAGTGTTAAGATACTTTAAATAAACTCTGCCTGTGACATAAGAGTAAACAATATAACAGTAAAGGTAAAACCTTTTGTACGGGTTTGAAGCGCCTCTGCTGAAGTTCACATAAGGACCCGATTGCTTCCGTATGAAATTGTGTGACCTGGAAATATGAGATAACAAGTGTTCATGCAAAGGCTGCAGCAACCCACAACTCACTTTTTATTTTGTGTGGTTACATTAAGGATCCAAGCACACTTGGTCAGCTATAGGAATGTACAAACAGAAGAAATGATGTTCAGTTATAGAAAATAAACAGATACATATTTTTTCATTTGGCACTAAACACAGAGCACACCTAACACACAGGCTGTGTCATAAAAGCGCCTCGCTCATGTGAAAGTAAGCTATACAGTAAGTTTTACATTCCTTCCTTCGTTGCTCTAAAAACTTTCAAAACCTGGTTAGAAACAAGCTAAAGGGCATGCTAATGTTTTCCAGCTCCGTAATATTTGGTTATTATGTTCTGACACATCATCTGTACTGCCTCAGCTGCAAGGCTTGAGAAAGTATTTAAAACATCTTTATGCATTTGTTGTTTTTAAAATGCTTAAAATGACATAATAAACAATATGCATGTGATACAGCTGCATAAATGCATATCATACAGAGGAGATTTTGCAGCCACTGTGGTAGAACTTTGGTAAATGTTCTGTTTTTATCTAGCACCTTCTCCGGGTTCTACGACCCCCCAAGGCGCTTCACAACACAGTCATTCACACACTGGTGGGGAGGAGCTACGATGTAGCCACAGCTGCCCTGGGGCGCGCTGACAGAAGCGAGGCCTGCTGAACACTGGCACCACCGGTCCCTCTGACCACCACCAGCAGGTAAGGGGGTAAGGGGACTAGCTGGGCACTGGACAACCCGCCCCACCTCCTGAGCTACTGCTGTCCCTTAACTTTGGCTGAGAAACTAGATTTTTTTGCAGAAGCTGTCTACTGTTTTATTCACTTGGTGCTGTTACAACTCAGACATTTACAAGAGCATGCACACGTCACACACTGAAACCACCATCACATTGTGCTAACAGTGCTAACCAGCTGTGCCACCATGCAGCAACGATTTTACTCTCCTGAACGGTTGAATGCTTCTTTCCAGATGTGCCTGGTTCTGCACAAACACATCAAATCTGCAGCTATAACTTTAAAAAGATCCAGAGTTAGACTTTTACCTCTTGCATTTTTTGTAAATGATGATCCCAGCGACAGCAGCGATGAGAAGGACAACAGCTGGTATGGAGATGTAGAAACTGGACAAGGAAGTCTCAAAGGAGACTAACAGGTAACAAGCTGAGTCACAGATTTTGACAGATTGTCTGAGAACCAGTCGGGTGAATATTACACTCACCTGTTGGAGTTTGAGGCAGAGGAGTTGTTGTGGCATCTGTAGAATCAGTAAAAAAGTAAAACCATTTTCTTTTTGTTTTGCATCTAACTTTCGTTTTAGGGAAATATCCCATTTAAAACTGAGACGTACTGAAGCTGTTTATCTATTTAGATAAAATAATACAATACCTGCTTCAACAGTCACTGCTATCACATCTGACCCTGTGGGAGAAGCATCCAAGTATTAATTTAATATTTAGTCAAATTAGAATAGTTTAATTATTAGTTGGTGGACTGAATGTCTAACCATTTACATGAATGGTGACTGGATTTGGTTTGAAACTGTACGGCTTTGGGACTGCAACAACACGCATGTAGATTTGCTCGCTCTCTTGAACGTTGTAGATTTGTAGGGTGCAGTTTCCTTTGGCTCCGTCTCCGATTAGCTTTGTCTTTGTTTTATACTTTTCAAGCACACATGACCTATTGGGGTGATAAACAAAGGCTTTTCTGTCGTTGTCGTTCTTGCTGCATTCACTTTCTCCATCTGTTTTCCAGTAAACTGCTGTGAAATTTGATGTTGAAGGAATCTTGAACGTGCAAAATATGGTAATGTTTGAGCCCTTTGCTGCATTAATCTTCTTTTCTGTCCTTATTTCCCACTCCTGACCTGTGTTAGGAAACAAATACTAGCATGAGTGAAGTTTAGGCCTCAGGAACAAAAGACTCAGTAGCTCCATGTGACACCCACCTCGTGAATAGGACACAAGAATCAGCACCAGCCAGAGGTTTAGGCGCTGCATCTGGTCCCAAAACATGTTATTAGTCCAACAGTGCAGCAGTTTAAAGTGACTTTCTATCAGAATCTAGCACATGTAGAGTGAAGCTACTTAGAAGACAAGTACTTACTGTGAGAAGAACCCAGATGAGGACAAGTGGACTTTGTGTTAGAGCTGAGCGCTGCGGTGAAACTATTGAATGTTTCCTGTTGCATTGTGCGGTGGTTGAGAAATTAAAAGGAAGTTCAGACAGAAAAGGGAGTCTGACCACTCAAGTGACACTTACCGGTAGGTTTGTGCTGCTAGCAGCCTCAACACCTCGCAGTTTCACACCCTCATCTACATTTACACCGCTTAAATTATCTCCATTTCCACAACCAGAGAACTGGCAGCTGCTTCATGCTAAGATGTTTTCTGTTCAGCCACAGAATACAAACAGCTGAACATTTAAGAACAAAATTAACATGGATAAATGTTCAGGTGGAGAAAATTTTAGCCACATTTAAAATTTTTGTTTTTTATTTTCTAAGGGAACATTTAAAAAGCTTAACACAGTTCGTATCTGGTTTTAAGGCATTCCGATGTTGTTTTAGAGTGAGATATAAAGGAAGGAGACCTGGGATCAGCGCTGCTCTACGCTGAAAGACTCATTATAAACTCTTATCAGCATAAAGGAAAGTTAGTGGAGTTTCCATCTTAAGAAAGCAGTCAAAAGGAAAACCTCCCTTTAGGTTTGTGGCTGTTTTCTGTACAAGCTCTATCTGCTGATGTGTTCCAGCCTGATTACACTTTGTACAAAATGCCTACAGAAATGTTTTAGCAACATCAGGGACTCCCAGATTGCATACTGTTCCCATCCCATTGGGTAAAAGGTGAAGGACCAATCACATCATCAGGGCAACAACCCCCCCAAAACTGTCCACAATGATGCAAAAACAGAACCAACTTCACCTCTAAATGCAACAACTTGTGTTATTGGCAGGAAGAGAGAGAGAGATGATGATTTCATCAGTTTCCATCATCCAAATGGGGCTATTTCAATCCGGTAATCACCTAATAATTTCAAATAGATGAATTGAGGAAGAGAAACTTCTACATTTCGGACATACACACAAATATTCACACTTAAATACTTTCCAACTTTTTCTTATATTTCAATCATTTCCTTTAACCAGCATGTACTAAAATGACCCTTTATAGGGTAATGAAAGGCCACCCAGCCCCTATCTCCCCCTGTGGCCAAAATGTTCCAGTTGCAATTTCAAACTGGCCGGCCGCACTGTTGGGACCATCAACATACATATATGGACAATGGGTTTCCAAAGACCCCAATAACACATTTTTGAAGAGAAATGGGAGGTGGCCACCACCACCATTTTGACCGTGTCACAGGTTCCGTCAAGCCCAGACAATTCCACAAAAGGGAAGAGAGGTGGAGCTGAGGGTGGGGCTGTAAGGCTGGGATCAACTGACGACACCCGGTCGAACTAGCTACAAGCTAACCTGAAGCTAACCCAAAGCTAACGCGGAGGTGGGAGCTAAGCAAATGGAGGTAGCTACCTAGCTACAACCGGAGCTAACGCTGTGGAACACCAGTGGCCTGAAGCTCACACGGAGTTTGTATGGAGGTTCAACACATTCTCACTCCCAGCGCGTCAAAAACGAACGCTTGGTCAGCCACCCTCCACGTCAGACCCCTGATGCCAAAAGTGCCCTTTTTTGTTACTTATGTGCGAAAAGGGTTTTTTCCCTTTTGTAACTGCTGATCCCAATGCAGCGTAAAACTGACATGATGGGATATCCGCTGATGCGGCACCGAACCAGCTCATTTAACCACACCTAAACCTTAAAGTTTCACTATTTATAACCTTCCCCTCTCCCTCATCCTAACCTTAACCCTCTTGCTACCTAAAACGTTACTCTCACTGCGATCAAGCGTTTGTTTCCCATGCATTCTGACTCTGACAGTCAGAGTGTGACTGTGAATTTTCGTATTTGCCGCCCAAGGGGAACGTTAGAACATACCATCTGGCGAGGGGGAGGTTACAAATACCCTCTACTTTTAACCTCCACCGAGGTAGTTGAAACCTCCCCCTCGCGTTGGCTTGGTCCAAACTCGACCAATGACGAGGCGGCTCCCGCCGTTCACTTCATAGAGCCGGCTTTTAGAGCGATCGACACATCACTAACGTGTTCCCTAGCAAGATGGTTAAAGTTAGGATAGGGGCGAGGGTAAGGTTAAGTAACAAGAGGATAAGGTTATGGTGAGGTACAATGAGCTTGTTTGGTGCCCTGGCTGCGGACATCCCATCACGTCAGTGTAAAGCTTGGTTTATGCTTGACGCATTTACTTTCCGCTTGGTGATGCAGCTCGTGGATGGAACGCGCTTCACAACTTGCAGCGTCTATGGTTCATGCGGCTTGTCTCTGCGGTGAGCCAATATTCTCCCAAACTGTAGGGGGCAGCATGGAGCTCTACAGCATGCATCCAACACTACACCGTAGTAGAAGTAAAAATTACTGTTGTTTACAACATGGCATTCCAGCATTTTTAACAGCGTCCTCGTCTTTTCCGACAGTGTGAGCTATTTCTCTCCAAGAATTATTAACAACATGTTGATCACGGTGATCTCTGAGAGCCGAATCATACAAATGTCTGTATTTACGAACCTCTGCCATACTAGTTCTTGCCAGTCCGCCATGTTTTTCCGCGTCCGATCGTCCGCGTGGTAAGAAAATTTCCTAGGTGCGCGTTGCGGAAATTTTGGGCTGTGCGGAGGCGCGGTGGAGGGGCGTGGTTGTTAAAATGACGCGTTTTCGCTGCGCGGAGCCGTGCGGACCTCGCGGACGCGTCAAGCATAAACCAACCTTTACGCTGTATTGGGATGCAACGGTAGCGGACATCCCATCTCGTCAGTTTTACGCTGCATTGGGATCTGCAGTCAAATAAGGGAAAACCCCCTTTTCGCACATAAGTAACGGCAAAGGACACTTTTGGCGTCAGGGGTCTGACGTGGAGGGTGGCTGACCAAGCGGTTGTTTTTGACGCGCTGGGAGTGAGAATGTGTTGGGAGTTTTGTGGCGCTTTTTCATGAAAACTATCTTTCTGTGAATAAAAAAGTATTAAATCGGTAAGTTTATAAGTTATTTCCTTAATGAGAATATATTTTTCTTTGAGCAAGTTTTCAATATTTTTAACGTATCGTATTTTCCGGACTGTAAGTCACTCCCGAGTATAAGTCGCACCAGCCATAAAAAGTATAATGAAGAAGAAAAAAACATATATAAGTCGCATTTTGGGGGGAAATTTTATTATTTTTCTTACAAAATCTGAGACCAAGCGTTTCACATTGCAAGACAAGTACCGGTAACAATAACAGAATAAACAATGCGGGTGCAGCATCGCACCACGGTCTCCAGCAGAGGATGGGGGTGTTTGAAATGTCCCAGGAGGACAGGGGAGCTCAAACCTGGGCCGGATCCAGTGTGCAACATGCTCAAACAGGTGATGGCTGTGTGTTTTTTATTCCCAGCGGGGCAGGGGAGCTCATTCCTGGTCCGGAGCCGGCCCGCAGCAGCGCGGTGTAGCCCACATAATTTGGTATATAAGTCGCAGAACCGGCCAGACTATGAAAAAAGTGTGACTTATAGTCCGGAAAATACGGTAGTTATTAGTATTTGAGATAAATTAGCAGGCTAAATACATTTCATATATTTCCAAAACGTAATACCTGTTTGTATCTTGTACAGCCAAGTAGCCTTTATTCTGGACTCAGTACAATTCACCAAAAGTAAAGAGACATTATACAGATGAAGTAAGCAGAAGATAACTTACTGGAAGACACGGAATTATCATGAGAACCAGAACAAGAGAGGCGGATGACAGTCATGTGAAAATAATTATTAAAAAGTATGTATGTGTAATAGAAATAAAACAAACGTGCATGTTTGAGTCCCGATGCAGGAGCACACCTGATTTTAATCAGCAGGGGTCTCATTTATAAAATGTAGAGAGTTGAAAATAGCTTTCTAGTAAAATCTGGTATCAGAAATAAAATGGAGAAAACAGCCCCGTATCAAAAAAAAGCGGGGGGAAACAGCCCCCCCCCCCAAAAAGGTTGTTGTTATGATTGTATGTGTGTACCTGTCAGTTTACAATGCTATTCCGCATACAGCCGCTAGAGGGCGCATTACGCGCAGTGGTATCGAGTAGTGTTTTGGGGGCACAGAGGAAGAATAAACCTTCCTGTTGTGAAACTGACATCAGCTCAACGTGTGTCCCTTTTTCTATTCTTTATCACAGACACACGTTATTGAACAGGAAACCAGTTGCCCCTCTGGTCATCATCTTAGGGAGGCAACAATTCTGGGGGCTCGTCCGGGATACCGGGTGAGGTCGCTGGGGGGGGAGACCACCAGTGACCTGGGAGAATGCAGAGTCCCCAATCCCAGAGAAGCTGCATTCCAAAGAGAAAAGTTCTTCTTCAACCAAGACCTCCAGATCGTGCCAAGCGTCCAAAAGGGAGCGTGTCGCTCAGCTGATTGGGGGTAGATGTATGGTAACCTGTTATCTTGATGGGGTCAAACTTCAAATGTTGTTGGATAGTGGGGCCCAAGTAAGTATTGTGGAGGAGTCTTGCGTGCAAAAAGCCTTACCAAACGTGACAATTAGGCCACTAGAAAGCCTATTTTCAGACCACCCACTCAAAGTTACTGCAGCTAATGGTACAGTGGTGCCATTTGAAGGGTGGGTAGAAGTTTTTCTTGAGATCACAAGTAGCAGGCACGGCTCAGTTGCTATTTATGTTCCCATGCTAGTAAGTCACGGAGGGTTAAGCAGCCCGCTACTAGGCTTCAATGTGATACAGGAGATGATTGCAAGGAATGGTGATCAAAGAGACGATGGCCACTTAGTAAGTCTCCTTTCGGAAGCTCTGAGAATTCAGAAGATTAATGCTGAAAGTCTGGTGTCAGTGGTTCACACAAAGCCACCCCTGGAAGAGTCAGAATGTCCAGTATTCAGAGTTGGAAAGAAGGGACTCACAATCCCCCGCAGTCAGATCTGTCAGGTGAAATGCCGCATGAGAGCTTTTCCTGGAGGAGGAGTCATGTTGTTTGAGCCCAATGTAGACTGGCAAATGCCAGATGGGTTGGAGTTATTTCCTGCGCTTGTTGATGTGCCGGCTGGCGCCTCAAAAATAGTGAGAATACCAATCCAGAATTCCACAAGGCATGAGGTTTTTTTAACCTCCAAAAGCAGTGTTAGGATCCATTGAAGAAGTGGTGGAAAG